TGACATTATTACAAACACAAATATTAACGAAAATAGCAAAGACAAATGACATATCAATGAAAATATTAATAATGGTAATAAGAAATAGTGACGATAATGATTACATTAATAATAATAATATTGAAAAGATGATGATGATGATATGATGATAATAATAATAATAACAATGGTAATAATAATAATAATATTGATAATATCAAGAGCAACAATAATAACTATAATACTACTATTATTATTACTACTAATAATAATATCAATAATATTAATGACAATAATAACATTATGATAATGATAAAAATAATTACAATAATATCATCATTAGAATAACAAGAACAACAATAATAACTATCATCATTATTATCATTTTTATTACTGCTATCATTATCATAATGTTTATTATCATTATCATTATTGTCTATTATCATTCTTATAATCATCACTATCATCATTATCATTATGTCTATTATCATCACTATTATTAACAATGTCATTATTATTATTATTATCATTATCATCATTTTCATGTTATTATTATCATTATCATAATTTTCTATCATTAACATTATCATTACTGTTATAATCATTATCACTCTTACTCATAAATCAACAAACATATTGAAAACAATAAACCAAATTTATTAACATTAATAATGAAAAATAATAATGATGCAAATTATAGTAATGGTAATAGTAAAAGCTAAAATAACAGTAATAATAATAATAATAATAATAATAATAATAATAATAATAATAACAATAATAATAATGATATTGAACAAAAAACAATAATGATGATAATAATTTTCATCAACTTAATTATCATTATCATTTTTTTTATCATTACTGCTACTACTATTATCATCATTATCGTTATTACTATTACTAAAATAATAATAACAAAAAATGTCAACAATATTTAAAAAAGCAATAATCTTAAAAATGACAAACAATAACGATAAAAAAAATAATCATATTAATACAATAAATACAATGATGATAATAATAATAATGATGATAATAATAATAATAATAACAGTAATAACAAAAATATTCATTATTATTATCATTACCATTAGCATTATTATCATAATTACTTTTATTATCATTGTTAGTTTTATTATTATAATCCTCATTATCATTATTACTATTATTATCATTG